TCACGCGCGGCGGCAGCGTGGGCTCTCGTAGCCGTTTGCACAGCAGGGAGAAGAGCTGGCGGTGGGTGAGGAAGCGATGTGTGTCTCGGGGAGTTCAGGGCGGGACAAGCCTGGTGGAAAGACCAGTTGTTGGGCAGGTGTGGCCGCGGTGTGTGTGCCTGCACTCTCAGCACTCTGGGAGGCTGAAGCAGGAGAACCACAAGTTTGAGCCTAGCCTAGGCAATGTAGTGTCTTACCAAGACCCCATCCTAAAAAATAAGTTAGATGATAGAGATGATAGATAGATAGATAAGCAAACAGACAGACAGGGATGTAGCTCAGTACAGAGGCACTAGTTTCAATCTCCAGTACTATAAAAACAAAAACAGAACAGCTGAAACAGACTTGAGAGGGCCCAGAAGAGGCAGAAGGAGCTGGTGTGGTGTGGCACTGAGGAAGAAAATCGGCGTGAGGAGCCTGGGGAGGCAGAGGCAGGCTGCGCTGGGAAGAGATGCGTCTGCCCTGCAGTATCACTGAGGGACAGCTGAGGCCAGCAGAGCACTGTGCCTCTAAAAGGGGCTCCGAATAGGAGCAGGACTTAGGAGCGAGGGTCTTTAAAATCCAAAATACTCCCAGGTGTTACCTGTTTCTCATTGATTTAAGGTAGAGAAAGGTAGAAGTCACCGAGCAAATTTCTGTGTGTGTGTGTGTGTGTGTGTGTGTGTGTATGTGCACACACGCGTGTCCACTCAGCAAATAGTGATGATCATGTTTCTTCTGATTTGAGAAAGCCTTTTGGACCTGAGTGTGGTGGCACACACCTGTAATCCCAGCGCTTGGGAGCCTGAGGCAAGGAGATCGCCGTCAGTTCCAGGCCAGCCTGGGCTCCACATCTTCACGGCTGGATGGTGGTGTAATGACAGCTCACAGACACCAGGGGGCGACACAGTTTCACCAAAGAATCACAGCTACCTTGACCAGCCGGTGGGCAGCACCCTGCTGCAAAGGTGAACCTCTTAATAAAAAGAGCTTCTGCAGGGAAAAGGAAACGTTTATGAATCCTTTGAAAGCTTTCTGGGTTGCCACCAAAATCGCCTCCCTGAGTCTCTGCTCAGCTGGGTTCGTGCAAAAAGGTGCGTTTACTCTTCCGACTGCAGCTGCCTGGTCGTTCCCGGGCTCTGCCCGGCGAATGCTCGGTCCTAACCGCCTGGCCGCGGGGCTCTGCCCTTCTCGCTCCCAGCGCTCCTCGACCCTCGCGAGGGTGGTGGCTGCTTTGGTTCCAGCCGAGGCGCCAGGTGTCTGCCCTCCCTGAGCCGCAAGGATGAGCGATCAAAGGAGGCCTGCACCTGCCTCCCGCTGGCTCTTTAACCTGCTGCCCGCTCTGAGAGACAAGGGCTTCTGTGTGCCCAGGGCGGGAGGGCAATGGGGGGAGGGGGCTGCATGAACTCCAGATCCCAGACTGCAGTGCTGTGAGCCGGGGTGCCCCAGAGACACCATGGGCACAAGCCGGGGTGGTGGTGCACGCCTGCAATCCCAGCACTGGGAAGGCTGAGGCAGGAGGATCCCTGAGAGTTCAAGCCCTCCCTGGGCTACAAAGGGAGACCCTGTCTCAACCAGAAACAGCAACAAAAGACATACACACACACACATATATGTATATGTATGTATGTATATATATGGTACTTGTACCTACACCCTAAGATGAAAGTAGACTAGGTACTGCAAACATACTAATAAAAGAGTTTCTAATTAAAATAAGTAAAATTATAAAGCGAAGCCAGGCCAGCATGTGGCCTAGGGGCAGAGCCCATGATTCACATGCACGGGTCTGGGTTTGAGTCACGGCACCGCAGTCCGCCGACCCAGTAAGAAATCAACGCGTTGGGGATCCGGAAGTCACTGCTGGACGGGCGGGCTCACTGCACTCAGAGCGGAAGGGCGATGTGACTGCGAAGAGCGCTGCGAGGTGAGAGCAGCCTCCGTCTCCCCGCACGGCGAGGCGGAGCCAGCGCGCGTCCAGCTGCGACTCCCACCCGCATCGCCGTGCGGTCGAGGCCAGCCGGGCGGCAGAGTGAACCCCGTCTCGAAAACAGTGTGAGGGCCGAGGACGCTGCACTTGGTGAGCGGTCGCTCCCGCTGCAGCGCAGGAACCATCGGAGGACGCGGGAAGCGGGGCTCGGGGGAATGGGCGAGCCCCAGGCTCAGGGCCGACCCCCGCATCACGGGCACGGACATCAAAGGCCGCACGGTCACTTTAGTTTCTTTCCTCGCCTGCGCCTTCCCCTACGGAGCCATGCGGACTCTCCCAGCCGTGCTGAAGGACGGCGCTACAGATGTGCGCACATCTGGAAGCCGGGTCCTCAGGCGCTGCGTGGCGCCGGGCCGGGGCTCAGTTCCCCCTGGGGGTCAGGTCGGGGGGTCAGGACTTCTCCGAGGCCCGCTCGCCCGCCTGGCCTCTCCCGAGCACTCTCCCCATTCACCTGTCCTTGCCCTAAAAGTGGTCTCTGGGAAGCAACGCACAGGGGTCGGGCTCTCGAAATCAGGGTCAGCAACCCAATAACCAGCCCGCCTGGGGAAGCACACATTTGCTGAGAGCTAGAAGCTCTCCAACTTCCGGCCGAAGCACCTCGGCTAAGGGAGGAGTCACATCAGAGGGAGTCGGGGTAGGGAAGCAGCGGTGCCTCCAGCGCCTGGGTCTGGCTGGGCAGGGTCAGAAGTGGCTCTGTGTTCTAACTACCGTGAAATTTCGCTGGAAGGTCTTAGGGAGCCGCAGTCATTTACACTTTAGCAAAAATTATTTGCTAAAGTGGCCCTTTCTGCTATGAATTCTTTTAGTTCAACTGAAATTAATCCTTGTGGCTGGGGGGCAGTGTGGTTCAGTGGCAGAGCATGTGCTCGGCTTGTGGAAGGCCAGGAAGAACCATTTCGGAACTGGAGAACTGCTGTAGCAAACATGCCCGGCTGGTGACTGGGTCGGACTTGCAAGAAAGAAGATAAAGTACGTTCACTGTGTGTAATTCGCTACACGCATAGGGATTTTGCCACACGGGAAGCAGGGCCGAGGGCAGAGATGGAGATTCTGTGAGTTTTCTTCCTGTCTTGTTTTCAAATGCTACTGCAGCCTGAAGCATCGGCGTGGGGTGGGGACGGGTCCCTTGTGTGTGTCGCATCTGTGTGTGCCTCGCTTGCGGGGAACCCGGGCAGCGCCCACAGTGACGCCTCCTCCCGTCCTGCCCGTCCCGCCCTGCCCGTCCCGCCCGTCCGCAGCCCGTGTGTCGCTTTTCACCGCCAGCATCGATCACTTGAACAGTACACTAATTCTGAACAGTCGTTCTGTGAGATAAAGTCCCTTCTCCCTTGTTCTGTGATTTGAGTGTGATGTTGCTATTCGCAGTATAGCTGGATTTGGCTAACTTTACGTTCTCACCAAAACATAGCTAATTTGCAATGGAAAGGCCCACCTTATACACGGACGGGTTTGATTTGGGGTTTAAGAAAATAAGAAATGCCTACAGGAAGCCAATGAATCACTAATGCTTTTATTAAAATAATGTGCACAGCGCCCGGAGGCTGAGGCAGGAGCATCACTGTGAGTTCCAGGCCAGCCCGGGCTCCCTAGTGAGACCCTGTCTCAGAAAATCAAATAGAATAATGTTTGCAATTAGAGTTCTAAACCCACATGCTTGCTTCTTTTTCACTGGCCCTTCCCCAACTCCGTGGACATGCTGCGGGGTCCGTGTCACTGCCCCTCATCCTTTAGATGTCCTTGCACACGGCCCCTTGCTCCCTGCCCAGCGCGGTGCAGGGGAGCTCAACAGTGAATACAGCCGGGAAATGAGCACGCGCCCTCCGCCAGCCTCCCCAGAGTGCAGAGAGAGCCCGCAGCGCGGACCACTCAGTGCTCAGCCAGCTGTTTTACCCACCCCGTGAAAACCCAGTGTAGTCTGCTGGGGGTGCACTCCCTGCCGTCCCAGCCGCTGGTGTCCCGGGCGATGGAGCAGGGTGTGTTTTTGCCCAGGCTAGGGGATTCAGGAGCGCCTGGCACGGTAGCGAGTGCTGGGCCCCCTCGACCGGCCTGCGCTTCAAGCTGCCTCCTCCTGGGCGACCGCGTAGAAAGTGCTCCTAAGTCCACGGGGCAGGGTTTCCCTCCCGGCCCAGCTTGAAGGACCCAGTGTCCCAAGCTGGCTCCTGACTCCTTGCGAGAGGCCCTCGTTACACTTCCGGGAAGTCTGAGAGCTCACTGCTGCGAATTAAATTCTCCGAACATAAAACTAAGCGAAGTCAACTAAAAACAAAGGTCAAGGCTGGGGCAGAGCCGTGCCTCGCGCGCGTGCGCGCTGGAGGTCGGTTCCGTCCCAGCTCTTGGCATTCAGTGGGGAGCCCTAGAGCCTTTCACTCGCCGGCCACGCCCACTTCCCCCGGGCCCTGTGCAGTGGGGTGGGGGCCTCGTGTGAGCGTTTCCCAGTGTGGACGCTGAGAGGTTTGAACTTAATAAAAACAGCTTATGTGAAGATGAAACTGGATTAAGAGTAGACCATGTACAAGGTATAGTGCAGCTGGTCACGGTGGTCCACACCTGTGACCCCAGCACTCTGGAAGGCCCGCCAGGAGCAAGTTCGAGCCCAGCCTGGGCAACTTAGTGACTTAGTGAGACCCTGTCTCGAAATAAAAACAGAAATTGGAAAAGGACTAGGGAGGTAGCTCAGGCAGAGGCCCGGGTGCGGTCTTCATTATGGTCAAAAACACCAATTATGTACAGAAGCAGTCCCCCCGCCCGGCCTCTGTCTCATCCAAATGCACAGCAGACCCCTTACTTAATGAAGAACCTCCCTGAAGGGTTAGTTGGGAAACTAAGACACCCATGAGGCTCAACCAGGACGAAAGAATTACTTGGCCGGTGGAGCTGAGGCTCGTGGGGTCCTGACACCCCGGGCCCCCGTCAAGGCGGGGAGTGTGTTCTGTGATGCCTGGGAAGGCTGCTGGGCCCGCGAGATAACCGCCACTTTCTTCTTCTGTTCAAGGTGTCATAAAACTGAGCTCGGCCGTGGAAGGTAGGTTCTGCCGCCCGAGACGACGCCGTCCCGCTTCGCGGCTGCCTGCGCGGCCTGTGGCTGGCGAGCTTCCGTGGCCCGTGTCCGTCCGACGCGTTCTGTGTGCTGCCCCTGTCTCAGCTGTGTTGTACCGCAGCCGCTGGCCCCGGCGGCCGCGTGTGTCTGTGGCCCTGTACAAGGCCTGGTGTCCAGGACACCGGGTGACATCGAGACCAGGGACCGTCCAGCAGGGCCGCGACCTTGGTCCGCTGGCCTCGGACTCCGCCCTGGAGACGAGACCATGTGGCGCCCACAGGCTTCCTGGGAGGGGCCCCGGCCTCCTGCACAGCTCCCCCTGGCAGCTTCACTACACCCCGGGAACAGCCGTCCCCCTCAGTGACTCTTGGGAGCCCCGGGAGAAGGCAGAGGGACCCAGAGCAAGCACCAGGCTGGCGACTCTGCGGGGTGCCTGCCGAGGGACCCCAAGGTGGCTAGCCTATCCCGAGGCTGACATGATAGACTGGCGGCTCCTAGCTGGCTTCCCTGCCCGAAGGCAGGGGACGCGGAGGTCGCTGTTGTTTTGTGAGCTTCTGTGTTTGCTGGTTCTCGTTCGTGGTGTGCTTCGGAGATGTGCTCAGTGGGGGCTGCTTGGAGGGGGCTTGCAGCTCGGGGAGGTGGGAATGGAGGGGCTCAGGCGGGGGGCAACCAAGGTGGATGTGGCTGCAGAGGGGCTGGGAGCCCCAGTGGATCCGTGGGACCCTGTCACATTCCGCAAACTGAGCGGCAGAGGCAGCGCCTGACACCCAAAGCCCGAGGCTGCTCTCAAACAAGAGACAGGAGGGACGAGCTCAGCGTAAAGTGCAGGCCTGGCAGGCGGGGTCCCAGTCCCAACACCGAACCCTAAGCCGGGAAGAAAAGAAAAACCCGGGCACGGTGGCATGCGCCTGTGATCCCAGGACTCCAGAGGCTGCAGCAGAAAGATCACACGATTGAACCCTGCCTGGGCGATTAGCAGTCTAACAAGTCCCTGTCTCAAAACAGAAAAGGGCTTGGGGTGCCGCCCCATGGGAAGGCCCTGGGTCCAACCCCCAGTAAGGCAGAAGGGTAGGAAGACGCCCCACGGTCGGGGGTCAGGATGGACAGAGTCGATGACATAAAGTCACCTCAGGGGCTGGGGATTTAGCTCAGCGGCAAAAGCGCCTGCCTGGCAAGCGCAAGGTCGTGAGTTCGGTTCCCGGTACCGGAGAAAAAACAAAAAAAAAAAACAAAAAAAAAAAACAAAAAAATAAAGTCACCTCAGAAACAGAGTGTGGAGTCCAGGCTTTCACTGAGCCTGGCCCCGCTGTAGGCCAGGCAGAGATTCAGATTCAGCCAGGCCTGATGGCGCACACCCATGATCCCAGCACTTGGGAAGCTGAGGCAGGAGGATCACCATGAGTTTGAGGCCAGCCTGGGCTACACAGAGAGGTGCTTTCTCAAAAAACCAAAACTGAAGAAAACACAACAAATGTTTTTAAAGGAGTCAGACAGCCAGATCATCAGATAATGTTTAAACGATCGTGATCGCTCTGCTTGTGGGTCCTCCTGGAGGGGTCTGTTTGAACCCCCAGTTAGGCTCTGCAGAGAAACACAGGAGTTGAGGAGACAGGCGGACAGGAAGCCGAGAGGTGGCATCCGCGGGCCACGTGCTGGCTGAGGGCTGTGCGAGCTTGGCGCGGGGAGGGGGCTGCGCTGCTGGGGGGCATACATGCGCGTGTGTGTGCCTGTGTGTGTGTGTGTGTGCCTGTGTGTGTGTGTGTGTGCCTGTGTGTGTGTGTGTGTGTGCCTGTGTGTGTGTGTGTGTGCCTGTGTGTGCTCACGCGCGCACACCGTGCATGCCCCGTGGAGTGCGTATGTGACACTGAGCCATGGGACCTGGGGGCGGAGGCCCTGTCCCGTCCACCTGTGGAGTGGACCCCAGCTAGCCCAGCCAGGAGCACCCTCGGCCCCAGTTGGCACCCACAGCCCAAACAAAACCTCTTTCCTCTCCTCTAAAAATGGCTCTTCTGGACTATCTGAGAACTCTGAAAGTAGCACTGTACTTGTAGGTAGGTCATTTTCTCCCCTTTTTAAGGAAAAAAAGAAAGAAAGAAAAACAACTATGGAAATTGTAAGAGAAAAGTTAACAAAGATTTCACTTGCTATTTTCCACCAAGAACTTTGTCATATAATTTGTTCTTTCCCTTTTCCAAAGCAGGGGTCCCTGCTTCAGCATAGGGTAGCTTCATGTAGGCGTAAAGAAAAAATGTCTTTAGATCACATTAGTGCTAAGGTTAGAAGTGGAATGCCCTTAGCCGGGCGTGGAAGTGCACTTCTATAATCCCAGCACTCAGGAGGCTGAGACAGGGCAGTCAGTGTGAGTTTGAGGCCAGCCTGGGCTACATAGTGAGACCCTGTCTCAAAAAGTCAAAATAAAAACCAAAAAAAAGGAGAATGCCTGGCAAGTGCAAGGTCATGAGTTCCATTCCTGGTACAAAAAATATATATACATAGAATGTCCTTTGAAAGACTTCGAGGTTATACTCAGAAACACCCATAGATGCTTTATTTTGCAAGCAAAGAAAAATATGTAACAGAGAAAACAATCAAGTTTGAAAGAAATGACTGCGAAGTTCTGTCCCTGACATGGGTGACTTCTTGCTTCTGGCAGTAGACGGCTAGTCCCACACTCTGAGAGCCCAGGGTTACAGAAATATGCATGCAGCCAGCAAAGGGGACAGAGGAAGCTGGAGCCACTGCCTCAGGAACCCATGGCCAGAATTCCATCACGGAATCTTCTTTCCTGCAACTGGAACCAGGCAGGGGGTGTCCTTCCTTGAGCAGGGCCACAGTCCCAGCTTTCAAGAGGCTGAGGCAGGAGGCTCCTTGTGAGTTCAAGGCCAGCCTGGGCTACATATCGAGACCTTTCCTCAAAAAACCAAAAAGCAGGAACAGATGAGGCCCTCTGAGGGTGCTGGGGAGAAGACCTGATTCTCGTGCTGTCCCTCACCTGTGGGGCTGTCACGTGTCTCACTTCGGGGGCAAAACCTCCCCGGGCCATGGACCCACCTTTCCTTTCCCATCACTGCGTGCTGCTGAGATATTCCCAGAGCCGTGGCTCGCGAGTCGCAGCCCTCCTCGGGGCAGGGGAGTTTGGGTAAGTGTCACGTGGAAGGCTGTGCTTCCTGCTGCCTCGCGGCCTCGGGCCTGCTCGGTGGAGAGGCTGCCTGAGAGCAGAAGAAGTGTGGCCCGTATGGGAGCATGGGCTGTGTCTTAGTTACGTTTCTCATCGCTCAGACAAAATACCCAACACCCAGAATTAAAGAGGGGACGGTTTATTTCACTCAGTTTGCACAGGCTCCATCAGTAATTGGCTGGCTCCAAGGCAGAGTGGCACATGGCAGAGGGCAGTCATAGTGGGGGTAGACAGCAAAGCAGCAAGAGGGGAGAGGAGCAGGACGAGCCAGCCTCCTTCCCTCCCTTGTACTGTATGCAGGCTGCCACTCGGGGCTGGTAGAGCACTCACACCCCCAGTTGGTTCGTTGTAGACAATGAACCAATCACAAATTCTGCATTCAGCTGCCTCCAAAAAGCCCACCCCCCCCCATGACTGCATGAGGCCTTAGGGGGACATCCAGACACAAACTTTCCACCCCTGCCCCCAAGATTCATGCATATCTCTCTATGCAAAAGGTGTTTAGTCCACCTCTAAGAGTTGTCAAAATCCTAACAGTTTCAGCACTGCTGAAAAGTCCAGGTCCCAAGCCTCCTCTGAGATGTAAGGCAAACTCTTAGCTGTGAGCCCCGGCACAAATGAAAAGTTAAATACCTCTAACATTCCATGGTGCAAGGTAAACATTACCATTCCAAGATTACAAGCAGGGGATAGAAAGGATAGGGACCAAAGCAAGGCCAACGTCCAGCGGGGCAAATATTAAGTCCTGTAGTTCCATGTGCAGCATCCGAGGCACTCTGTAGCAAGTTGTAAGCTCCAAAGAGACTGCGTGGCTCAGCCCCTATAGCACTTCTGGCGGTTGTGGCTCCCAGGGCGGCTGTCATTTCTCTCAGCAATCAAGATCTCTTCTGCTCTGTCTTTGTAGTGTACAGCTTTACTGGAGCTCCCTTTCTGACCAAACTCACATTTTAAATCATTCTCCTGGGCTCTTTGCTCTTGATTCTCCACATAAATCTGGCTAAAAGCCCCCACAGCAGCCATGCCACAGCCTCAACATTCGACTGCCTTGAAATCTCTTCTACAAGGTTAATTACTCCACTGCCCTTAACCTCAGTCTCAGGCAAAGTCTGTGGACTTGAGCAAAATGCAGATAAAATTTTGCCGGACCCTAACACACATCAGCTGGAGTCCGAAAACCAATGCAGTCCTTCTTCCCAGCAGGAACCTCCCAAGCCTGGTCTTTACCAGCAAGATTTCTATCAGCTTGCTGGTCTTCCAAGCTCTGACCAGAATCTTCCATACAGAGCAGCCTAAGATACTCAAGCCCTATTTTTTCAGCCTGCATGTGCAAACCTTTCCAATCTCCTTCCACAGCCATTCCCATAGGCTCTTGAATCACATGGCTCTTGAGACATAGCAACAACCCCACTCTTGCTACCAAATCCTGTCTTCATAACTTTTCTCTTGTTGCTGAGACAAAATACCCCACCCCCAAAGTTAAAGGAGGGAGGGTTTATTTAGCTCACAGTCTGTAGAGGTTTCAGTCCATAACTAGCAGGCTCTAAGGCAGGGTGGCACGGTAGGGGGGCAACCATTCATCACAGCAGAAGACAGCAAAAGCAACCAGAGCAAAAAGGAGGAGCAAGCCTCTTTTCCTCCCTTATACTATAAGCAGGCTACCCGCCCTAGGGTGGCACTCACAGCCCCAAGCCCAGCATTAGATAATGAACCAATCAAAAACTCTAGACTCAGCTGCCTGTGAAAAGCCCCACCCCATGAGGCTCGGGAGTGGAGCATCTAACATGCTGCAGCTCCAGCACGGTGGCTTCCCAGGACGGGACCCTCCCGGAATGGCAGAAACGAGCCCGAGACCCAGAAACAAAGACAACAGTCCAGAGGAAGCAGGGAAGGATTCACCTGCTCGCAGCCCCACTCGGGGCCAGCTGCTCTGACCCTGGATGGCCCTTAGTGGCCTGCCACAGCCCTGTCACTCTCATTCCTTTGGGTTCGAGTCTCTTCCACTCTCCCCGCTGTCTCTGCGGCCACAGTAGCCCTAGGGGCTGCTGACCGGGGAGGTGCGGCACGGAGCCACACTGCGCTTTACTCCTCTCCCCAAATGGGGTGCGCAGGGCAGCTTCAAAGGCCGCCTGGAGGCTCCATGGGGCGCGGGAGATGCTCAAGAATCCCCCCTCGGAGCAGTGCTTGTCTGGTGATCTCTCTGTGGCGCCCTCTGTCCAGTGTCCAAAGACCTTGCAGACAAACACCAGTTCTCCTGCCTCTGCTGCAGCCCGCACTGGACGCTTCACCCCGGGGAACAGCCAGCCTGATCCTGCCTCTGCCTTCACAGAACGCGGGGCACAGGGTCCTAAGCTCCATGCTTGGCTCTCTGACACCTCGGTGGAGGGCAGGGCAGCTGGCCAGGAACCAGGCACCATCCCCATTTGGAGTGCTCAGATGGGTTTGGGTAGAGGAAGAAGGCTCTTCAGGCTGGTACAACAAAGCACCAGCCAAAGATGGAATGCATCGAAACTGGTGATATTTTATAGGTTTTTTTGAGACAGGACCTCACTGTGCAGTTCAGGCCCGCACTGAACTCACTATGTAGCCCAGGCTGGCCTCAAACCTGCAGCAATCCGCCTGCCTCAGCCTCCCAAGTGCTGGGGTTATTGATGTGTGAGCCATCATGACTAGCTAGTGATGTTTTATTATGAAGTAGTGTACACTTTCACAGTTTTCCTGAGCCTGCCATTTGTCACCAATCATCAAGAATATGGAAAACCAGCCAGATGTGGTGGTGCACATATGTAATTTCAGTGCTCTGGGAGGCTGAGGCAGGAGGATCTCAAGTTTGAATCCAACCTAGGCAACTTAACAAGACTCTGTCTCAAAATAAAAAAGGAGCTAGGGTGTAATTCTGTGTGAGGAATCACGAAAGAAGAGGGGAGAGAGGAAAGAGAGAAACCAAACTAACTCTTAATGCTATGACCAAAGACTGAAGTTTGTCCTAGGATGCCTGAGTCACTGAATAGGTGCTGTTTGCCAGGAGACCTAAGACTCAGCCACTCACCATTATAGCAGAATCCATGACTGGTAATATGGGGAAGGAAATAAATGTTCCAACATCTAAAAAGTAAAACAGAAGAAAGTGGCAGGGAGAGGTGGGACATGCCTGCCATGCCAGCACTTGGGAAGCTGAGGCAGGAGGATCCCCTCAAATTGGACTACATAGTAAGACCTTGTCTCAAAAAAAAGGAAGTGTTGAATAAGAAGCGCTAACATGAACACAAGGGCAGCTATCGAGAGAGGAGCCTTTCATAAATCTGTGAACTTTCACCACCCAAACTAATAAAATCTGTGCAGAGTAAGTGACCTCGAGCACCCGCGGCAAGTTCAGCACGGCGGGAAGACAGCAGAACCGCACCTTCTCCCCCTGGGCAGGAGTCGAGGCTGTAAGGGAGAATCGCGCGCTTCGCCCACGGATTCCTTTTCTCTTTTCTTTTCGTTTTACAAGCGTGTAAGTTTTGCTCGCTTTGGCAGTCTGCTGGGAATTTCCAGTCGAACAGCCAGCTCCACCGAGCTGCACAGAAGAAGGTTTTTAGGGACAGTGGTCTGATGAACGGACTTTGAAGCCAGCTTGATGGTGCTATCAAAGCCGCATCTAAATGCACTTTCAGTCTAAAAGTACAGCCCCACCTCGTGTTCGCTGTGGAACGCGCATCCGTGGAGAGCGGTGAAATCCCGCACCCCTAAAATCAACTGCAAAGCCCATGCCGCGTTGATGCGCATGCGCGGCTGTATTCTGTCAGCTGCCCGCCCCTCTGGGCTGCGTGCGGTATTCCTTGAAACTGTAAGAAATAACAACTTTCACTTCCTTTGACGCCTCTGTTAGCCACTGTTGATCTTTCGTGTTCTTCTGTTTCTTGAGACAGGGTCTCACTGTGCAGTTCAGGCTGGCCTTTGCCGTCCCGGGCAATCAAACTCGTGAGCACCCTCCCACCGAGCTGTGTCCCCACCCCTTCTGAGAAAGACTCTGGGAGGCTTGTCCCAGAGGGGCTCTACTTGCGCTCTTCCTACCTCCGCCTCCCAAAGTGCTGAGGGGGTCTGAGCTGTGGGCAACCAACCAAGCTGGAAAAGCGCTTCCGTTTGTTTTGTTTTCAGGGCTGAAGATGGAACCACGGGGCTTCACAAAAGCTAGACAAATACTCCACCACCGAGTTACCTCCCTAGCCCTGCCAAGGCTTTTCAAAGGGCAAGATCAGCCAGGCATGCTAGAACACGCCTATAACGCCAGCACTCAGGAGGCTGAGGCAGGAGGGTCTTCATGAATTCAAGGCCAGCCGGGGCTACATAGCCAGTCCAGGCCAGCCTGAACTACGAAGTGAGACCCTGTCTCAAAAAAAAAAAGAGATTAGAACTATACGTGAGGGAATGTAGCTCAGAGCAAGGTGCAACCTCTTCTACTCAATAAACCAAGCCTACATCTTGTTCTTTTTTATTTATTTTTATTTATTTAAGAAGGCTTTGACAGGAAGAATGTAGTGTAAAAATCACTGGAAAAACGAAAAGGCATTGACACATATCCAAAGATACACTGTACACATAAAGTACACTTCCTTCAGTCTTTCCGTGAGGTCCGGGGTGGACACTAGGACCAATCACTGGGTACCGACTGCTGGGGACCGGCAGCTGCACACCCAGGCTGGCCTAGTTTTCCTGGCACATCGGCCACTGCATGAGGGAGATCTGGTTGAGGGGCCCCATGAACTTGGCGTGGGAGCTCGAGAAGGACTCAGAGCTGCCTTCGGAGACCCGCATTCTCTTGGGCTTGGGGTCGCAGGCATCTCTGGCTGGCATCCCAGCGTCGCTGCAGGTTTCTGTAAAAGGTTGCAGGTGGTTGATGATGCGCATGTGCACGTGCTCCTGCACCTTCAGGATCTTCTCCAGCTGGTAGAAGTTATAGCTTTTGGGATTCTGGAAAAGGATGTCATCAGGCAGGCCAGTGACCTCCACGGTGAAGGGGTTTTCTTGAATCTGCTTGTAAGGGACCCGGACAGGGCGGCCCAGGCCCAGGGCCTTGCCGTACCGCTTGTTGAAGAGCTCCCTCACCCTCTCCCGGAGGATCACTACCTCCCCCAGGTTGCTAGAACCGCCCTTCTCAGGCTTCAGGCTGAGTTCTTGGACCAGCCCCGTGACCGTGAACTTGATCTTGTCAGCCTCGGCAAGAATCCGCAGCAGGCTCTGACAGTCGAAGGTGCACGGCTTTTGGAAGGGGATCCCCGGGGGCAGCCCCTCGATGGTCACCCAGCCGGGGTTGCTCTGGATTCGGTCATAGGGCACCTGCACGGGGCACAGCGCTCCATAGGCTTCCCCGTACTTCCTGTTGAACAGGCCCTGGACCTGCTCACGCAGCATTTTGGCCTTGTCAGCGCCAGGGGCTCCCGCCTCAGAGCTTTCTGGAAAGCCCTGTCTCCTCTGGCTCTCGTCCACCGGGGGGTCCCTCACTTCACTGTGAGTGACAGGATCCTTGACGGTGTCCATGAGCAGCTCAGGCCTCCTGATGACAAAGCGGATGCTCTTGCTGGCTTCCAGGATCCGACACAGCTTGGTCATGCTGAAGCAGTCCGGCCGGCACAGGGAGATGCCATCCGGCAGCCCCATGACAAACAGCTCCTCAGGGTGCATCAGGAACTTGGAGTACGGCACCTGCACGGGCCCTGAGACGCCGATGGCCTCAGCGTACCTCGTGCTGAAGAGCCGCTCCACCTGCTCCCGAAGCAGCCTGACCACGTAGCCATAGAGGACCTCTACCAGCTCCTCTGCCAGCCCCTCTGCCAGCCATGGGTCCTCCCTGGGCCCCAGCTCAGCCACCATCTCCGTCCCAAAGCTAGAGTCCTGAGAGGGGTGGCCCAGCAGCAAGTCTGTCATCTCTTCAGAGGCTGCCAAAGGGTGAGGGACAGTGACCTGGGTGAGGTCTGGGTTCTCAGGCTCAATGTTGACTGGCTGCAGCTCCCCACAGGCTCCTGGCGTGCAGGCTTCAGAGACACCACCCTTGTCTGACCCAGCGGGCATGGCCTGGTCAAGGATGGCAGCCCTGGAAATCTCCATGGAGGTGTCCTCAGATGGGCTGGCTGGCTCCAGCCTCTCTGAGTCTTTCAAAAACTTGACCCGTGTGACAGTCTGCGCGTTAAACACCCCCTTAACAATAAAGCGGATGTTGTGCCGCTCCTCCAGGATCCGCCTCAGCTTGGTGGCCCCGTAAGTGCAGGGGCGCTTGAAAGGGATGTTGTCCGGGATGCCCAGGACCTCCACAGCTTCTGGCTGGCAGGCGATCTTCCTGTAGGGGACGTGGACCATGTGGCTCAGGCCCAGGGCTTCCCCAAATCTGCTGTTGAACAGGATCTGCACACACTTCCGCAGGGTGTTGATGTCCTCCGTGTCTCTGATGAAGGCATCCCACTTCTCTGACTTGTCATGGACGATGGAGTAGAGACTGTGCTCGGACATGTGGTCGTTCTGGGTGACAGGCCCAGTGGGCCCGGTGGGCTTCTGTTCACGGCAGCAGGAGATATCCTGAGCATCGGGGCCCTTGGGCTCAGGCCCTGGCAGGCCCAGGCCCGGGTCGCTCGGGGGAACGGGACAGCCGGCCACCTCCTGCTGGAGACCGAGGGTGGCGTGGTGAGGCAGACCCGGGCTGTGGAGGAGGCTGGCCGTGGAGAAGGCGGTGGCAGTGGGGGCCACGTCCTGGAGGGACACTACAGGCAGCAGGGAGATGACATCCAGCTCCACCAGGGCCTGGGAATGGTGCTCGCTGTCATCCAGCGGCCCGCTGGGCGGGGAGCACGTGCTGTAGCTGTACTCCAGGTCGGCTGTGAGCCCCTCGGGGTCTCCCCGAGTTGCGATGTCGTCTCCCTCTAGAAGTGGGCTCTCCTGATGAACGTTCCCGGTCTGTGAGGCTCTCATCTCCTCCTGGAGTTGGTTCCCAGGTTCTTCCTGTCTGGAACGAAGAATTGAACAATATGAACAACAACAAAGAAAAAACGGTGACACAGTTTGCTGAAAAAAGTAAAAGTGAAGAATGAAGGAGAAGCTGTGTCCACAGAGCAAGCCAAGTAAAAGAGGGAAAAATGAGCTCTTCTTGGTCTTTTTCTTGGTCTTTTTGAGACAGGATCTTGCTATCCAGTTCACGCTGAGTTTGAACTCACTCTGTAGCCCAGGCTGGCCTGGAACTCGAAACGATCCTCCTGCCTCAGCCTCCCAAACTCTGGGATTACAGGTGTGCACCATGCCCAGCTTGGCATGTCGTTTAATAATGTCCAAATCTCAAGGAAACCAGAACGAGCTCCTATATCCTGGTCCTGAGAGGTGTGCTGGGACCCCACGCCTCAGAGTGCCGTCAGGTCCAAGCGTCCTTCTCCTGAGAAGTCTGAGTGCACGGCTTCAAGAGCTTCTCTGCAGTGTGTTGTGGGATCTGGTAATTAACAGATCCCGCCCGCTCCCTAGATCCCCAGTTTTTGCATTTTCTATTACTGGAGCACAGGGCTTACTTAGAAAGAACTGAAATCCCTTGATTAGCCTTTGCCTGTCTTACTCGTCACTGCTCCCTGCAGATATCCATAAACATGAATAGTACAACGTACATGATACGCAAATTTTTCAAACCACAATCCACGGGACATGTTAACCCCTGCCCATCAGATACGCAAGCACCTCCTGAGGTTTATTCTATTACACTTCAGTCTTGTTCCTGGGATAAATTCAGCTACCCCAGTAAGATGCATGAACTAGTTTAAAAGTAATTGAGCCCAGCGGGGCGGCACATGCCCATACTCCCAGCACTTTAGGCTGGGAAGAGAGGAGATTGGTGAGTTTAAAGCCAGCCTCCCTACATAGTGAGATCCTGTCTCAAAAAAAAAGCAACAGAAAAGTGTGTATCAGCCGGTGTTTGCTAGAGAAAACAGATTCAATACAAGATATCCAAATGTATAAGAATTTAAAGATTGGCTTACAGTGGCAATCCAGATGCAGATGTGCAGAGTGCAAAGGTCTGTCTGCACGCTGGAGATCCGAAGGATCCAGCCGAAGGCCCGGAGCTCAGTGTAGGTCCGTATCAGGAGGCCGAAGAGTCTGCGCTGGAAGACAGAAGACAACGTCCAAGGTGGAAGTGAAGGCTGCAGCTCCTCCAGAGAAACAGAAGTGACCCTTCCTTCTTCGTTTCCCTTTTATATCGTTCTGGCGATCATCCTCCCTAGGGTGGGTCTTCTACACCCTGAACCTCCCTGAGATAATCCACAGTCTCTTGCTCGAGTGGACACAATCAACCATCACATCACAAAGTATAACCGAAAAAAAATGTACGGAGCCAGGCACTGTGCAGCTCTGGAGGTGGACGTGGTGACGATGTGGGCTCTGACTGACCTCTTTGGAAGGTGACTGTGTAAGGGGTGATGGGAACGATGTGAACGTTTAAAAGCAAAGTATTCCTAACAGTAAGGGACACGCTCCGTGAATTCTGCTCAGAATTTGCCCCCTGGCTTCCAAAGAACTTACCCTGTCCTTGTGGCCACGCTCTGAGCAGCTCCAGGGTGCTCTTTCCTGAGCGCTTCTACAGGGTAGGATCAAAAATACCTGTAATGCTGCCGCCCAGCACCAGCCAGCAGAAGGTGGGCTCGTAAAGACAGAATAGCGGGTCCTCACCTCCTCCCCACAGTCACAGTGACCACGAAAGGGAAATGTTTCGAATCCATTCAGGATGTGGAGGCAGCCAGGACAGCTCCACCGATGACACTCAGGAAAGGGGACTCCAGAACTGCTTCAAAAAGTGGCAAGGACGGTGGCATGAGTGTGTTAGAAGCAAGGGGAGTATTACGAGGGGTATTTGTGGAAATGGTCTTTTACTGCTCTAAGTTCTTTTGAAAATGTAAATGGTCACTGTCTTTTTCTATCAGTGATCCTCCTGCCTCAGCCTCTCCAGTGCTGGGATTACAGATTTACATCTAGATGTCCCCCCAAAGCCTCATATGGTCACAGGTAGGGCTTTTCAGAGGTGGGTGGATCTAGAGTTACGTGATGCCGGGATTAAGGGTGTAATGCTGGGATTAAGTGTGTGATGCTGGGATTTAGCCCCAGTCTCCTAAACGAGTGGAGGGCAAATGGCTTTGAAAAAAGAAACAAGTGGTATGATTTTAGCGCTCCAGTAAAGTCAAAACCCTCTAATGAAATCGGTGATTCCCTGGGGGTTGTGACAAAGAACTTCTCTGGGCAGCCTATATTCATTTGGTTTTCAAACAAAGGAGGGGGATACTGAAGCAAGTGTGGAAACTGAGCAGGACCTTGGGAGTCAGTTCAAACACTTCCCCAAGTAGTACATTTTACCAGTTAAGAAAACTGTTCTATCTCTCAGGTTGGCAGCTCTATTGCTCTGGGGCAGGGGACATCAGCAGCCCATAGCCCTGGTGCCTTGGCTGTGGTTACCTTAACCTCAGAGCACCAGGCATATGGCTCTTTTCCAGCACAGCCAGACGTCCCTGTGTTCAGCATCTTAACCCTGTACAGCCCGGTCTCCAACACAGGACTGTGCTAAAACCACCAGTGGACTAAGCCAGCATCACACACATGATCTAGTCAGCCCCGCATGACTCACCTCCCACTACCACCTACAAAACAACAACAATACGTGTCGATATAAAGGGGGAGGTTTGTCCATTCCTGAGAAGTTGCAACCAAGCCAGACCCTCATTCGCTTTCTTTTTTTTTTTTTTTTTTTTTTAAAAATAAAAGGAGGAAAACATTAACAGACAGACAACCTTTTACACAATAGCAAAAGAACAGTACAGACAATACAGAGTTACAAACAAAGTGGTAGGAAATTAACAGTGCTTGTTGTGTTACATATTGATATCTTCAAAGTGGTTTCTTAGCCCGAATTCACATCACCTCCGTGGTACCAAAGACCGCATGATGTGAACGGCATTTTGAATGACAATCACCTACAGAAAAAGGGACACTGCCACAGGCCAGAAATAACTTTCCACAAGAAGTTCCCGAGGAAGGTAACCTGAACGCTATCAAAACCAGCAAAGCATACAGAGAAACAAACCCCCACAAAATAGAAGAGAAGCACCATGGAGTAGCTGCTAGCTTAGAGTGGCCCCAGAACAGACACCCATGCTATGTGTGAGCAGAAGATAAATTTCAGACACTTTGCTGGGAATGAGAAACTATTTTTGAAATGACAAAAAAGTTAAAAAATAAAATAAAATAAATGACGGAAAGTTGTGGTTTGGGAAAGTGTTCTGGAAATTTTTTAAAAATTAAAATTGAAAACTCAGTGGGAAAAACTCAGCAACAAATAAAACTGAAAGGGAAGTTAAACAATTAGAAGGCGGTGAGAAATCCTTATTCAAGTGTCAACAAAAATGAGCCAGACGTGAAAAATATCGGAGATGTTAAAACACATAGATGGTAGGATGAAAAAAGTAAAATAAAAAGTGTGATAAATCAGAGGAGGAGAAAAGCCACACAGTGTTTTTCAGAAGTGATCAGACACCAGTCCACATTCAGGAAGCTCAGAAGCCCCAGAGAGAGCTGTTATAAGACTGGACACCTCAGAGTTCAAAGAACCGGAGGGGAAAAGACCGGAAAGCTGCGGGGAACCCCCAGGCAGACAGCAATAGAAGTCGGCAGAGCATCTCCCCAGTGTGCTGATGGAAATAAATGCACACAGGCAAGTGCTTCGGTAAGGACAATGTTCTTGCAGAAGGAAGGTGACATACAGACACAAGGGAAGACTGCAGGCCCCCACTAAACGGGATTACAGACTGCTACATTTTGGGTAGAAGCACCAGGATCCCTGAGGACAGGTCCAGGCGGTCTGCATGTTTGAGTGTGGACTACCCGCACCCCAACCCTCCGCCCCCAGTCTCCATGCGCCAGCGTTGAGAGTGGTGAAACCTTTAAGAGGCGGGGCCTGGCGGGGGATGGATAGGTTACTGGGCTGCTGGGTAGGAAGGTGTTATGGGAGCTCGCAGGGGACCCTGTCAGTTCCCACAAGCACAGGCCGGCGGACAGAGAGCCATCCTGGCCTTACGCTCGCTGGCTTCTGGGCCCACTGTGTGATCTTCCCTTCTGCATGTAGCCAGTCCCAGTTCCTGCCAGGACATCAGGGCTGGGCCAAGAGGACACGCCACCCAAGTGGGAGAAAATACACAGGGAGCCAAAGAAATCTCTTTGCTTTGCAAAGACGGGCAAAATGCAGGAAGCATGCAGGGCAAGGAGACTGGTAAACATAAGGGTGAGAATAAATGGGCCTTCATAGTGCTAGGTCATAGGGGCTGGGGATGTAGCTCAGCGGCACAGGGCTTGTAGCAAGTGCAAGGTCGTGAGTTCGATTCCCAGTACTGGAAAATAACGTAGATCATAATGCAATCTGGTGATTTTTTTTAAAAGACAATTAAAAATACAGGACATGAACTCTCAGTAATCCTCCTGCTTCAGCCTCTTGGGTGTCAGGATTATAGGCATGCACTACCAGATTTTAAGTGGCTTTATTTTTTATTTTTAATTGTAGAATCAGACAACAAATTCCATAAAACAGAATAAAGGTTCCTGTGATTTCCTTATCAGGCAAGAGCAGGGAGACAAAACAATAGAAAACGAACTGGTTACCTCGGGTTGTTTCAGGATTATGTTTCTGTTTTTGTGCAAGGACTGGGACAAAGGGAACTTTATTATTGTGCAGATTGAAACTGCCTATTTGGGAAACATTACCAAATGTTGTTTCTCAGAGGACAGATAAGCAAGTTAGTTCCACCTGGATGCGTGGAACTTCAGGGTGAGCACCTCCCTTTGACTTTAACCTGGCCCACTGGGCCTAGTGAAAAGCCCTTTGCCCAAAACAATGTCCTTCTGTGATTTTTATTTAGCAAAACCTAAGTATGCATCTGTAATAAGATGTACGTTTATTATATATTACCACACAATGAAATTTTGGTGTTTTCACAGAACAATGAAAGTAGACAAATCTACCTGAATGTTAATTAGGCAAAACATAAAGGAAGATATGTAATATGTGTTCATGAATATAAAGTTCGACTACCAGTGCACACCAGTAATCCCAGCACTCTGGGAAGCTGAGGCAGGAGGATCACAAATTTAAACCCATTTTGGGCATGTTAGCAATTTAACAAGACCATGCCTCTAAATTAAATTTTTGAGCTGGGCACGGTGGCGTATGCCTGTAATCCCAGCACTCAGGGGGGTGAGGCAAGAGGATCATTGCAAGTTCAAGGCCACTTTGGGCTAGAAAGTAAGTTCAAGACCAGCCTGAACTGCATAAAGAGACCCTATCTCAAAAAGACAAAAAAAAAAATTTAATTAATTAATTAATAAACCAGGGATGTAGCTTAATGCAATGGCCCTGGGTTCAATCCTCAGTATCATAAATAAATAAATAAATAAATAAATAAATAAATTCAACAAATGTAATTAAACTATGTTGGTTGGGATGCATGAAGAAATTGTAAAACTATTTTTAAACTCAAGAAAATACTAGTAGCAAGCATCAGTACAGAGGTCACTCATAGGCTGAGCGCATTACCCCGGAATGCAGGTGAGACCCGGCATCCTGGCCACACAAATCCCCAGGCTGACCAGGTTGCAGCAGGGAAGGTTTCATGGGCTCATGGCTCCTGAGGGTTCAGGCCAGGAATCTGACCTGGGATGACGTAATGGCAGAGAGGGTTGGGAAACAAAGAGTGGGATGGGAAGAGACTGAAGTCCCCTTCCAGGTTGGAGACCTACAGCAATCGGGCCTTTAGGGACCCTCACTTAGACCCCGGCCCGAAGTGTGCATCGGGGACCCCTGGGGTGTCAACAGCTTCTAGAGCTGAGCCTTGAAGGTATATGCAGAAGGTTCATCTTGTAACTGTCCTTGAAGAACATTGCAACCAGGTGTGGTGGTACCAGCCCAGGCCCCTAAGCAACTTAGTAAGACCCAATCTTAAAATAAAAGAGAGAGAACAAAGAGCTGGAAACGCAGCTCAAGTGAAGCCCCTGGATTCCATCCCCAGTGCAAGAAGGGGAGAAAAGGGTGTCTCAGAGATAGGAATGCTGAACTAGTCCCTTTCCAGCACTGTGATGGAACATCGGGGCCCAGGTCACTTAGAAAGCACAAAAGAGGGCCTGGGGATTTAGCTCAGCGGCAAAGTACCTGCCTGGCAAGCGCAAGGTTGTGAGTTCAATTCCTGCTACCAGAAGAAAAAAAAAAAAAAGAAAAAAGAAAGCACAAAAGAGCCAGGCATGGTGGCGCACACCAGTAACAGCACTTTGGGAGGCTGAGGCAGGAAGGTCACATGAAGCTCAGCCTGGGCCACCGAGCAATTTAGTGAGACCCTGTCTCAAAATTAAAACTAAGAAGGGCTGTGGTGGAGCTCAGTACAAGGGTCCAGGGTTCAATCCCCAGTGGGGAGGGGGAAGAAGATGGGAGGAGAGGGGAAGAAGAGGAGGAAGACAGGAGGGAGAAGAGGAAGAAAGGAAGGACAGGGAAAATTACTAGTAATATCTAGGGCTGTCTTTACAGGACTGTAGTTCTTCAGAATTAGAATGCTGTCGTGGTATCCTTAGATGGAGCCCTCTAAAGCCACATCCCGGTGTGCAGCTCGGCGCTTCGGGGTTCGCACACAGGGAGCTTTCCTTTTCTTTTCTCCAGGAGTGGTGATCAACCAAGGTGCACTCTACCACTGCACTGCGGCCGGCCTTTTGTAGAATTTGTTTCCTTTTGTGGCACGGTCTCGCTCAGTTGCACAGGCTGGACTCCCAACTCACCGTCCTCCTCCCACTCGGCCTCCTGAGTAGCTGGAATTACTTGAGCGCATTTTGTATCGTTGGTCTCCCCCGCTCTTAGCTGCTATGGAGCTGCACCTCGAGTTCAAGGTTTGCCAGCAGCACTTGGCTGGAGCGAGGGGAGGAGGGAGCCCAGGGCGGGATGTGGCCGGGTGGCGAGCGCTCGCCCAGCACCAGAGGCCCGGGCCTCCGTCCCCAGCCAGGGCTGCGAAAGCAAAGCGTGGGCCTTGTGCAGGGAGCTCGAGTGTGTACCTGGACCCCTTGTCTCGGGAGGCCTGCACACAGAGCACTAAGGGCAGGGCTGGTAGAAAGAATGCTAGCTCGCTAGGCCCAGGGGTGCACACCTGTAACCCCAGCGCTCTGGGAGGCAAAGGCAGAGGAATTGCAAGTTCAAGCCCAGCCCAGCCTACATGACTTTGCCAGACTCTGTCTCAAACTACAAAATGTAAAATGGCTGGGGATGCAGCTCAGTGCAAAGGCTCAGTCCAGCACTGCAGTGCTGCCCCTGCCGCTGCTGCTGGCCATAGACTGCAACCCAGCGTCCACTCCGACGAGTGACATGGACAATGGCAGTGTTAGATCTCCTCTGCCGGAGGCCGGAGAGCAAAGGGCCTCAGCCTCGATGGCCTCTCAGTCCTCTCTGTTGGGCAGGACTTTGGCCCATTCTCCAGAGGAGCACACAGAGCCTGGGACTGAGGCTGGAGGTCACCCAGCTATGGAGAGGCAGGACCCAGCTCAGATCAGCGCCAGACACTCGGGCCGTGGCTGCCAGGCAGTTTCACTGGGTGTGGGCAGAGACACCACGTCCTCCCGGCAACCTGGGCAAGGGCTTCCCCAGCCAGCAGGAGGGCAGAAAGGGACAGAAATGAGATGCCCATCACCTGCCTGGGCTGGGCTGGGGACAGAGCAGGCCATCACCAGGATCCAGGCCCATTCACGGGGATCAGGCTAGTTACAGACAGAGAGACGGTGGCGCTGAATTCTGTCTCTCCTCCCACACACCCAGCGCTGTCCCCAGGAGAATAACTGCCACAGCCCAGATTCCAAGTAGGAAATAACCAGGTAAAGTGACCATTCAGTGGGAGACCCCACACACACACACCCTCCTGTCTCAGCCTCCCTAAATGCTGTGATTCCAGATGTATTC